CCTGAGCAGTCTAATAAGTTCCTATATGATAAAACTCAACAAAACTTCTACAAAGCTGACCTCCAATGACTGCAGGCCAACTGTGTCTGCCAGACTATTCATAAATACACAGATGTCTTTCTTCTTCTGTCCCATCTCCCTTAACAAACTCATCCCAGATGAAATAGACAAAATTCTTCATGTAAACCAGTCTCTCTTACTTCCCTAAAAGATTTAGGATATGCTAATTCTGAATATTTTCCTAGAACAAGTATTGGGCAGTGATGCTAGGGTGTCAAGAAGCCTGGGATTGGTTAACCCTGACATAAAGCAATGTTGTTTGAAACCCATTTCAACATCTTAAGCAAAGTCTACAGAGGGGAAACCTGGACCTTTTTCAGATGGTGTTAGACATCAGTCCTGAACCACTTCATACCCACATGCTTCCTGAACTCAATAGAACATCCAGATTGAGTTGGAGCTTACAGTAACTCTTATCTGTATTTCCTAATCATTGTCATGGTATAGACAAGGTGAGGTGATCAAGGTGAGGAAGACTCAGTTGCAGGACAGAGGATCACTGGAGAAACTTGGAGGAAAGAGGTCCTTGAGTTTCCTGAACATCCTTGTATTTCCAGGGTGAGTGGGTGAGGCTGAGACCCAAGACTCTGCATAGGAGTAAAATGAGAGATACAGACTGCTTCCTCATGAAGAAATGTGAGGTAAGATGGAAAGTTTCATTTGGTAGTTGTGACACCAAAGATTTCTGGGTCTCCTGTGCTTTGGCCGTACATCCTGACTACCATATGATACAAGGAGGAGTTCCTGGGCATAGAGCCCCCATTACAAAAGGAAGGGAATCCTGATATTGGGTAGTCTCTGGTTCTCCAAGACTAAGCTTGCTCTTCAGGATGGTCTTCATTCCAGGGACCACTTGGACCAGACACCCTACACTATTGTGTGCATCAAGGAGAATCTACCTGAGATCTACCCTCCTGCCCCAGCTGTGGGCAGAGAGCTCTACACTCTTATCACCTTTCCTGATACGTACTCCCCTCATCTTTCCTGATGGGTGCTCCTGTCATCTTTCCTGACAAGTGTTCTGTTATCTTTCCTGATGGGCAATCCTTACCTAAGTATGAACCCCAATTCTCAAAGACTTGAGCTTTTCCTAGGAACAAAAGAAAATAAGAAGTCCTTTTGTATTCACAACTAGAGCCCTAAAATTCTAAGAGTAAAGGACAGAGAGAAGATCTAGATAAATGCTGTGGACACATGGTTCCTTTCTTGAGGCAATGGAATCTAATTTAAAACCAACCCCACATCTGATAGAGGGCTGATTTCCAAAATACACAAAGAACTCAAGCTAGTTAGCAAAGCACCAAATAATCCAATTAAAGTGTGGGGTACAGAACTAAATAGAGAATTCTCAATAGAGGAATCTAAAATGGCTGAAAGACACTTAAGAAAGTGCTCAACATCCTTAGCCATCAGGGAAATGGAAATCAAGACAACTCTGAGATAGCATGTTACTCCTGTCAGAATGGCTAAAATCAAAAATATCAAAAACAGTTTATGCTGGAGAGGATATGGAGAAAGGGCAACTCTGCTCCACTGCTGGTGGGAGTGCAAACTTGTACAGCTACTTTGGAAATCAGAATGGCAGTTCCTCGGGAAAATGGGAATCAGTCTACCACAAGACCCAGCAATTCTACTCTTAGGCATATGCACATTCATACAACAAGGACATCTGTTCAATTATGTTCATAGCAGCATTGTTTCTAATAGTCAGAACCTGGAAGCAACCTAAATGTCCCTCAACTGAAGAATGGATGGAGAAAATGTGGTACATTTACACAATGGAGTGCTACTTGGCTTGGGGGACTGGGGCAATGGAATAGTGAAATTCACAGGCAAATGGGTGGAATTAGAAGAAACCATCCCAAGTGAGGCAACCAAGTCACAAAAAGACAAACATGGTATGTACTCACTCATTTATGGATTTTAGACACAGAGCAAAGGATCACCAGCCTACAATCCACACCACCAGAAAAGCTAGGAAACAAGGAGGACCCTAAGAGAGACATACATACATGATCCCCTGGAAAAGGGGAAAGGGACAAGATCTCCCAAGCAAACTGGGGGCATGGGGAGAGGGTAGAGGGAGTTAGAAGAAAGAGGGGGGGGGAAGAGGAAGCAGGAAATTTGAGTCAGGGAAAGAATAGAGGAGAGCAAGAAAGAGATACAGTAATAGAGGGAGCCATTATAGGTTTAAAGAGAAATCTGGCTCTAGGGAATTGTACAGAGAGCTAAAAGAATGGACCCCAACTAAGAATCTAAGCAATAGTGGAGAGGCTACCTTAAATGCCCTTCCCTGATAATGAGATTGATGACTACCTTATATGCCATCCTAGAGCCTTCATCCGGTAGATGATGGAAACAGAAACAGATACCCACAGCTAAACACTGAGCTGAACTCCTGGCATCCAGTTGCAGACAGGGAGGAGTGATGAGCAAAGGGTTCAAGACCAGGCTGGAGAAACCCACAGAAACAGCTGACCTGAACAAGGGATAGCTCATGGACCCCAGATTGATAGCTGGGAAACCAGCATAGGACTAACCCAGACCCCCTGAACGTGGGTGTTAGTCAGGAGGTCTGAGCTGCCTATGGGGCCTCTTGTAGTGGATCAGTATTTATCCCTATTATACAAATGGACTTTGGGAGCCCATTCCACATAGAGGGATATTCTTCAGCCTAGACACATTGTGGAGGGCCCTGGCCTTGCTCCAAATGATATGACAGACTTTAAATATCACCCATGGAAGGCCTCATCCCCCCTGGGGAGTAGGGAGGGGATGGCATGGGGGTTGGGGGAAGACAGGGGAGGAGAGGAGGGTGAAAGAACTGATGAGATTAACATGTAAAACAAGCTTGTTTCAAATTTAAATTAAAAGATTACTATAAAAAAAAACCTAAAGAAAAAAACTACAACATTATCTCATTAGATGGGGGGGCTCCAACAAAAATTCAACATCCTTTCATGATAAAGGTCTTGGAGAGAGCAGAAATACAAGGAACATACCTAAAAATAATAAAAGCAATATACAGCAAGCCAACAGTCAATATCAAACTAAATGGAGAGAAACTCAAAGCAATCCCACTAAAACCAGAAACAAGACAAGGCTGTTCTCTCTCTCCATATGTATTCAATATAGTACTCAAAGTTCTAGCTAGAACAATAAGAAAACAAAAGGGCATCAAGAATGCAAATTAGAAAAGAGTTCAAACTTGTGCTATTTGCTGATGATATGATAGTATACATTAGTGACGCCAAAAATTCTACTAGGGAACTCCTAAAACTGATAGACACCTTCAGTAATGTAGCAGGATACAAGATTAACTCAAAAAAAAAAATCACTATCCCTCCTATAACAGATGATAAAAGGGATGAGAAAGAAATCAGAAAAACATCACCCTTTACAATAGCCACAAATAACATAAAATATCTTGGGGGTAACTCTAACAAAACAAGTGAAATACTTGTATGGCAACAACTTTAAATATTTGAAGAAAGAAATTGAAAAACACCAGAAAGTGGAAAGATCTCCCATGCTCTTGGTTAGGTAGAATTAACATTACTATGGCAATCTTACCTAAAGCAATCTACAGGTTCAATATAATCCCTATCAAAATCCCAGCAAAATTCTTCACAGACCTCTTAAAGATAATACTCAACTTCATATGGGAAAAAAAAAAAAAAAAAAAAAAAAAAAAAAAAAGATCTAGGATAGCCAAAATAATCCTGTACAACAAAGGAACTTCTGGAGGCATCACCATCCCTGTCTTCAAACTCTATTATAGAGCTACAGTAATGAAAACAGCTTGGTACAGAATCAAGTAGAAGACCTTTATATCAATCCACACACCTATGAACACCTGATTTTTGAAAAAGAAACTAAAATTATAAAATGGAAAAAAGAAAGCATCTTCAGTAAATGGTGCTGGCATAACTGGATGTCAACATGTAAAAATATGCAAATAGATCCATATCTATCGTCATGCACAAAAATCAAGTCCAAATGGCTCTGCACATAACTTGTTTTAATATGGCTTGCTGTTCTGCTACTGTAACTTTAAGCTTAATTCATTTTTAAGTTTTTCACATTTACTTATTGTGACCGATGTGCAAGCCACAGAACATGCGAAGGTCGGGGAAGAGTTGGCTCTCTGTTCTCTCCTTGCGACATGTGGGTTCTGGGATCCAACTCAGGTTAATTTACTCATCGAGCTACTTGCCAGCCCTGACCCCATGCTGCTATTTTGCAGTGGGATCCATGGCCTTCCTGGTTGCATCTGAATAGTAGAAATACTCTCTAGAGGTGCATCACTGTGTTTCTCTTCCCAATTCCAGGTTCGGTGCCCTCATACAGCTTGAAAAGGCCTGTAGTAGACATTGGTGTACGCTAGAAATCGGGGTGACAAACAAGTGCATCGCATTTACAAGCACAGATTGGCAGCCCACGCCGCACGTGTATAATTCCCATACCCTCCTCAGCCACCACCTATCCCCTGTGGCCGCTCATAGAATTCCAGAGTGAGAAAGCAGCGGGTCCTTTCGCATAACAGTTTATTTTTGTTCGTGACAAGGAAGAGAAGCACTTATCTCAGCCTGAACATTATTTCAAAATCTAATTCAGATCTTCCGCGAGTAGAAAGTGTCACACTTAAAATAAGACACCCCAGGAACGTTAAAAAAAAAAAAAAAAAAAAAAAAAAAAAAAGTCTGCCTGAATCCTGGCTTACACCAATTAGTGGATAACTGGTTGGAAACCCCAGGCTGCCGGTCTCTTCTTCCCAAGCAGGAGCTGCCCCTCCCCCACCTCTGCTGCACCGAGGGCTCACTGGGGAGGGGGCTGGGTGATCCCTGCTTGCCAGCTCCTGGCTGGAGAAAGCTACTGGCTTCCCATCACCACCACTATATCCTCCACCCACCCAGCCACCCACGCGACCACGCGAGAAAGCTCAGAGTGATGGAGGCCTCCTGGCTGGAGACGCGCTGGGCGCGGCCCCTGCACCTGGCTTTGGTTTTCTGCCTGGCGTTGGGGCTGATGCAAGTCATCAAGCTCTACCTACGGAGACAGCGTCTGCTACGTGACCTGCGCCCCTTCCCTGGGCCGCCAGCCCACTGGCTCCTCGGACACCAGAAGGTAGATGAAAGGAGGGGCACCGCAGGATGCTGCAGAGGAAGCCTGTAGCTTAGCGGCTGTTTCCTTCCCTCCCTTGTCTCTCTGGGTTATTCTTGGACTTCCCAGCCCCTGGTTGGGAGGGAGAGGGGGAGGGGTGTCATCTCTGCCCCTCTGCAACACTGGAGTCTCTCTCATCCCCTTGGGGAAGGGTCGTTAGAGAGGGGGGTTATTTGGGAAGCCTGAATATATGAAAACGCTCCCGCATATTTTCCACGTGTATTGTTTAAAATTCAGTATGTTGGTCAAAGTCATACTTATCTTTTTATAGAAAATGTGCAAAATCGAATGCAATAGTTGGCACCCTTGGTATCCTGACCAGAAAAACATTACCTGTCTTGTCTAAGATTCCTTTAAAGCCGGAAGCGGCCCTTCCCCACTGCTCCGAAGATACTGGGTGAGGAAGATTTGCTGAGTGCAGGGAGATCATCATTTGTTGTGGCTCTCCTATTTTCCAAATCCACTCCCAACACAGAGTCTAAAATTTTTTGAACTCATTGGGAGTAGCAGTTGTGTGCTAAGTATTAAGGCTACAAAAAGATGGTTCCTTTGCCTTCGAGAGCCCACTTAAGGTACAGACTTGAGTAGCAAAGAGAAATTGAAAATCCTGGGTAAGGAGGAATGACGGTGCCTCTGAGCAACCACTGCTAAGGGACTGCACAAACTCTCTGGGAATGGATGGGCTGGAAAGGCTTTTTTGCTCCTCTGCTTCCTGGACTATATCTCTCATGTCCCATGTGCCATGTGCTGACTCGGGGCCCTTCAGGTACACTCCCAGTTGTGCATTTACCACATTTTTATTTTTTTCTCTCTTCTGTTTTTAAATTTATTTTGATTGTTTGGGAGTTTAAATTTGGAAGTTAGAATGTACAGAGTCAATCACTATAGTTCCAGGCTGTCCTTAAACTTGCAATGGTCCTTCTACCTCAGCCTCCCAAGCGCTGGAATAGCATAATCTACCATGCTTAGCGACTACATGTTCTCCTTCCATTCATCCACAAGTATACACTTAGGCTGACTCCAAATCTAGGCCATTAAAAATAATGCTACAGTGAACATAGAAGTCAGATGCCTTAATGAAATAGTGATTATTTATTTGGGGCATATACCCATGTTATGGGAGATTCTTTTGTCCCACTAGGTTCCTGCTGCCACTTCAGCTCCAAAATAAACACACAGATGCTATATTAATTATAAAACTGTTGGCCGATGGCTTGGGCTTCTTATTGTCTAGCTCTGTCTTAATTATTAACCCATAACTACTAGTCTATGTATTTCTACATGGTCTTATCTTACCGGGAAACGCCTGACTTGAGTCCTCTCTTCCAGGACTCACATGACAATTCCTCTCTACCTACACTTCCCAGAATTCTCCTCCTCTGGTAGCCCTGCCTATCCTTCCTGCCTGGCCACTAGCCAAACAGTGCTTTATTCATCAATCAATAAGACAAACATTTACAGAAGGATGTCTCCCATCATACCCAGAAGATGAATCATTGTATTTTTTAGATTTGTTTCATTGTATGAGTATTTTGCCTGCATGTATGTATGTACACCATATATGTGCCCTGTGCCTGGAAAGGGCATCAGATCTCCTGGAACTAGAGTTATGGATGGTTGTGTGTTCTGAGGACCAAACTCAGCCCTCTGCTTTAACAGCAAGTGTTCTAACTACTGAGCTGTCTGAAAAATGATTTTAGTCTGGCTGTCGCAATTTTAGTTTCTGAGTTCTGTCTTAGTCTCCATTTGTTCTTCCACCAATTACCTTCCATTACATTAAACACTACACTTTAACTTTTTTTAACTTTTCTTTTCCTTTTTCTTTTTTCAGCCTGAGATAGGGTTTCGCTATGTAGACCTGGTCAATCTGGAACTTATTCTGTAGACAAGGCTGGTCTTGAACTTGGAGATTCAGCTGCCTCTGTCTCCCAAGGGCTGGGATTAAAGGTGTTTACCACCACCACCCATTGACAACAGCCATTTCTTAAACTCAGTATTCTTTGGGTTGGCAATTTGAGCTAGATGAGGTCATAGAGTTTTTCTAGGTGAATCAAGGTCTGGCTGAGTTTGGCTAAACTAACTAATACACCGCAGTTCACAGCAGGTTAGACAAATGTTGGCTGTTACTCTAAATGCCTTGGTGTCTTCTTCCTGCTGTGTTATCTTTCAGCTGTCTAGCTAGCTGGCAAGCCTGCCTCTGCTTACCTGGTCCCAAGAGAGCAAGAGGGCAAATCTGATGTTGCAAGTAGTTTTTAAGCCTCTCAGCCATGATTGCTGCACTTACATTGATTTATCAGAGCTAGTCATATAACCAAGTCAAAGTGGAAAAGGACATGAATTTAGGGGGCATTAGCAAATTAGGATCATGTCATAATAATTAAATGTACCCTTCTTTATTATAGAGTTCTAACTTTTTTCATAAAATGCTACGTCATATCTCCTCTGATGTATTAGTTGTAGTTTTCTGTACATTTTTCTTAAAGCCCTTCATATTTTTGTTTCCTTTCTATTTGTGTATTGTTGTCTTTTGTTGCCTAAAAAAATTCTCTCAAGCTTAGCAACTTGAAGAAGCAGGTTTTATCTCATTCAGTTTATATAAGTTTATATAAGGGTTGGGGATTCAGAAATGACTTCCAATAGCTGGATAATTCCAACTCCAAGTGTCTAACAAGGTTGTATGGAGATGATGAGGGCTGTAATCCTCTAAAGGATTCACTGGACAGGACCCACCTCCAAGTTCACCCCCATGGTTATCGACAGGCCTTGACAGCTATTATATAGTGTGCATACAAACTCTTAACTATTCTATCTTCCTAGTAGACTAATCTTGTTTTTAGGAAATGTCCCTTTTTATTAAGCAAGAATCCTTGCCTTGTAGTCTACCTTATCTCACATTAGTGACACTACATTAGCCTTCTCTGGTGATAATATGTTAGTTTTTTTTTTTTTTTTCCAGACATGTGGGGCCTTTTAAAAGTTGTCTTTTGTCAACTTCTCTGTGTGTGTGTGTGTATAAAATTTTGTACACTTTGACAATGTTTTTCTTTTGGTTGAAAGCTTTAGTTCACTTACACGCAATCTAACACATTATTGGTTTGCTCAAGAGATAAACTTGTTTAGTATTTGCAAAAACTGAAAACATGTCATACACTTAATGAAATGAGGCGTTAAGCTCCATTATAACCACTCCAGAGTCAGGCAGAACCTGTCTTAACTTCACATTATGGTTTGGATCTCCATATGCTCACATGTCATGTGAGGTTTAAAGCGCTTGTTGCTCTGGCTGAGGACCAAGATTCAATTCCCAGCACCCCTTTAGTGGCTCACGACCATCTGCAGTTCCAGTTCCAGGGATCCAATGCCCTCTTCTGGCTCCTGCAGACACTAGGCATGCATGTGGTACATATAAAGACAGACAGACAAAACAAGTATCCATACAAATACGTCTCTAAAAACTAAAGAATAAAAAGGAAGAACAGTTGAGGATGAGCCCCAACATCAACCTGAGGTACCCACATGCATATGCACACATATGAGCACCTGCCTGCACAGATATGCCCACATGCATTCAAACATGCATATACATGTGCATGTATGTAACACAGACAGAGAGAGATGGGAAAGAAAACAGAAAGAAGCAAATGTTCCTTTCTGGCAGCGGCATTTGTACTTTGTAGTTTGTATTATAAATGCTGGAAGCTGAGTGTGCATATGATAGCTTATACCTATATTCCTGCACTCAGGAGGCTGATGAAGGGTTGGTGTGATTTCCAGACCAGCCTGGGCTAATTATGATACTCCATCTCCAAAACAGGAAAATAAATTCTGGGAGCTGAGAGTTTTGTCTATATGCTTGTTTCAAATTCCAGGAACCTGTAAAAAGGAGTGTTCTGTTACTATGTATGGTGAGGGGCTGGATATTTTTGTAGAAGGAGTTGGCAGGGTTGTAGAGAGAATTGTTTATTGTTGAGTCATGAGAAAGAATCACTTTCCAGTAGTTAGAGAACAGAAAAGGGAAAAGGAACGGTGAGCTAGCCAGTGGTTGTGTTCAGTTTACCAACAGAAAGCCTCGAGTAGCTACCGGCATAGGAAAACAAAATCTACAGCCTCCCAGCCCCAGCTTTAGGCCTGTGATGTCCTCAAATGGGAGAGTGAGACTTAGTTCACCTCACCCTCTCTGCTGGGGAAAGTTTACAGGATGTGCTGTCACTTGGTAAGGCTTTGGTCTGATGGTGGAACATGTCTTTATTATCCCCAAACTTAGATATCGAACGGTCCCTCTGCTGAACAGCCTTGTGGGGGTCCTGAACTCACCCTGTGTCTGTGTCAAGGCAATGCCAGTCTGACTGACTCTGTGATTTCCTGTCCTTTTATAGTTTCTTCAGGATGATAAAATGGAGAAGCTTGATGAGATTGTCAAGAAGTACCCTTGTGCCTTCCCCTGTTGGATAGGGCCGTTCCAGGCATTTTTCTACATCTATGACCCAGACTATGCAAAGATATTTCTGAGCAGAACAGGTAAGAAATGAGACAAATCTCAGAGTCCTAATCCTCCAGGAGTGAGTTGCACATGATTCACAAGTCTAATTTAAAGCAAAGATTAGTCCCAGGCCTGGAAGAGATACTACTGAGCAACTATGGAGAAGGGACAGATCTGCCCAGGTTAAGGGGCTTCCTGGGTGACTCCAGTTCCTTGACTCCAGAACCCTATGAATCCCAGCTGCCACCACCAGCTGGGCCAGGGGCTTTCTTTTGCCTCCTTAGTTTGGGGACTTTTGAGTCAACAACACTGCTTCACACATGTATTTCATCATGAACATGTCTCCAGGGGAACAGAAGCCTACTTCCAGAGGTCTGAACAGAACCTAAAGTGGTATTCCCTTATCAGTCCAAACTCTTGGTTATGGTCTAAATTGTTCTTTCCTTTTGTAGAGCATAGGCCACTCCCCCATCCACCCAATCCATTGATAAGATTCCTGTTATGCATAGCACAAAACTACAATGGCCAGTTTGAGCTCTGCCAACTTTGGGAAGATCTAACATTCGAATCTTTCCTGTGTTTCACAATCCTCACCCTTACCTATACCTAAGCAAAACAGATCTTTCTCTGAACATATCCTCATTTCTCTGTCCCTCTGTTCTAATCTGTCTAGAGTTAACCTCTTCAGAAAAAAAAATACATTTACATTAGAGTCACAAGAACAACAAAAGGCCTTCATGTCTCACTGTCTGATGTTTTTCAACAAGCATACATGACCCAACCCCCATTTTGGAAACTTGTCCACTCCCAAGCCTGCACTGTTGAGGGAAATAGAAACCAGGGAAGGATATGAGCTTAGGTCCTGGGACTTGTTCTTCTCTGGGACTGGACCAAGACTCGGGTTTCCCAAGCCTCCAAGGCTGTAGAGAGGTGACTCGGGATTCCTTCTTGTCCACTGTCTGCACTGAGTGCAGGCAAATGAAGAAAGCCTTCCCTGACTTGAACTGGTCGTGAGTGTTTTCCCTAATGCTGACTTTTCTTGATTCTGCAGACCCGAAGGCCCAATTTGTACACCAGTTCATGACTCCATGCATTGGTATGTATGTACCACCCACTCTCACTCCAAGTCACTTCTCCATAGCAGAGCATTTCAAAGAGACTCAAATCTGAACTCAAAAGCATCAAGAAAGGGACATCAAATTTATACAATATGAATGCAGAGTGAGGGACCATCTAGAAGAAGGAAGGAAACAAGATAGAGGGAGGTAGGGGATACAAGGGATTGGAGTGGGGATCAGAGGGAGAAATGAGTGAGAACAAAATATAATGGCATGTAAATATGAAAATGCCATAAGGAAAACCAGTGTTTTGTATTCTCATCTAATAATATAAATTTTAATGTTTAAAAATAGAATCTGGAGACCTGAATTCAACTACATGTAAAAGAGGACATGATGATGTGCAGTTGTAAACCAACGGGGGGGGGGGGTGCCAGAACAGGCAGGCCCTGGGCTGGACAGCCAGCCTAACCCATTTGGTGAGTTCCAAGCTAGTTTAACAAAAAAAAAGCAAACAGTGGACAACTCATAAACACACAACATTCTAAAAAGCAAGATTTATGAGGAGAAATACCTAGGAGAGGGTCAAAGGGGAACTCAAAGGTCAACCAGCAGATTGCCACAGAGCACCCTTGTCCGTTTCTCTCCTCAAAGTCCCATTTTCAAAGGAAAATGGGTGGGAATTTTTCAACATCTTAGCTTCACTTCAGGAGTTTTTAGCCTTTTCACCTCTCTTGTTTTCTTGTATTTTTCTTTCTTTTCAGAGTTCTCTTATTTTTATATGCCTTTCGATGAACATTTTCTCTGGTATGAAGTCTGGATCTATCCTGTGAGAAGATAAATTAAGCTGCTTTCTCACATAGTTGGTGTTTATTTTAGACCAGAAAGAAATTAAATGAAAGGAGATAGCCTTTGGATTCAGAGCCCCTTAGATTTGCACGCTACTGTTCACTCCAATAGTCTACGTGAGCATGATCTTAGGGACATAATTTAATCTCTCTAGGAGTCATTTTCCTCATCTTTGAAATGGGAATGAGAGTCAGTGCTGTTGTTGCTGAAAGGGATGAATGTTGTATTCCCAGCACTTTATACAGTAGCCAGCATTCTAAGACAACCAAACCAGGCATCAAGAACCTGGCAACTTGTAAGCATTCAAAAGGGGATGATCCCAGCACTGAGAACAGGAAATAAACACAAAATCCCACTCCTAACCAAGAAGTTCGCAATTAGTATGTACTGGAAAGGGGAAATCCGTTTTCTGCAAATGGAGTGGCACTGTGTGTATCAACCACACTCCAGGGCGGGCCCCATGCCCAGGAGTAGTTGGCCAACACAAAACAGACTCCCTGATTTATTATGCATTTTGTTTTGATTTAGTTTTGTCTTATTTATTTTATTTTGTTTCTTTGTCTGTTTTGGTTTTCATTTTTTATTTTTTTGTTGCTCTTGTTTTTTGGTTGTGAGCCTAGCCTTTAATGGCTGAACCATCTCTCCAGCCCGTTGCTATTGTTTTTTTGAGAGAGAGAAAAAAAACATGAAGTCAGGTAGGCAGGGAGATAGGAAAGATCTAGAAAAAGTTTGGGGAAGTGAAAGAATGTGATCAAAATATATTAAAATGTTAATAAAGATATTTTAAAGGATGTTATTTAAATTTAAAGTCCTTCAAAAGCCAAATATGTTTTAAAATTATTCTATTTTTATTTATGTTTTTATGTGCATATGTTTGTGCACATGTGTGCAGTTGTTCATGGATGCCAGAACAAAGGGTTGGATTCCCAGATCTGGAGTTACACATGGTTTGAACCACCCAGTGTGGGTGCTGGGAACTGAACACCAGTCCTCTGTAGGAACAGCAAATATTGTCAACCACTGCGCCATCTCTCCAGCCCCTGAAAGCCAAACCTTAATGCCAGCATTCGGCAATAGAAGATTGTGAAGTATCAGCCTTGATAAGCAAGCATTTTCACAAACCAGAGCTCAAGCTGAGGGTATCTGGGAACAGATGGACATCCTCACCCTGTTTCTGATGAGTCTGTGTTCACAGTAATGTTCATAGTTTGGTCTACAGCAAAGAGAAGGTGGATAATTACCATGTTTCCCCATGAACTAAAGAGGGACTAGGCTGAGTGCTTTATATGTGTGTCCTCACTGAATCAGCACAACACAGGTACCACATTCCACTGCTGAGAAACTATGCCTCACGGAGCCCCAGAGCTTTTCAGACTGTGGAACACTTTCTCTCAGTATTAAATGTATCCACTATGGGTGTGAGTATCAGAGCTGACACGTCTTCATCTGCTACCTCATGACTGACTGCTTGTAAGTCGGTCACATGAGGCTGTCTGTGGCCCTCATCTCTCCTCATCTAGTAAAATGCATGAAGTTCTGTGCATTTCGTTTCTCAAGGAAGAGGACTCCTGAATCTAGACGGACCCAGGTGGTTCCAACACCGCTGCCTCCTAACTCCTGCATTCCATCACGACATCCTGAAAAACTGTGTGGACATGATGGCCCACTCTGTGAACACAATGCTGGTAACTGAAACATTAGATTGGACATTTATGTAGTGGGTTGAGAAAAACCAAACCTGATTTCCAGAAATTAATCATAATACAAGTACCCACTGAGCAGTGGTGTCTATGGTAAGCCTTTCCTGAATTCTTAGGTGATAAAAAGAGAAGAGCTAGCCGGCTATCTCACATTCTACGGCAGTAAGACTCAGGTGGCAGGTGCTGTGGGAGACAGGTAAAGAAGCCAAGAGCAGCTAACAAGAGCAGAGGTGACTCAAATTTACCACCATAAAAGCCGATTTGCATATGCCAATGTTAAGAACAAGAAACTCTTAGGCAGAGCGATGTGAGACAAGGTTTGAGGCTGAAGTGGACTTGTCTGATGGGCATGAAGGACTGAGCAGAGGTTCGGTGCCTCTGTCACCTCTTGTAGGTGGTGAGGGATCTTGAGGTGAGTGGCACCTTCCAAATAGACAGGGCCTGCTGCAGAGGGGCATCCCCGTTGGGGTGGCTTCTGACTTAGAGATGAGTTTTATCAAAAGCTCTATTGGTGAGGAGGTTTTCACTTTTTTTCCTTTTTAAAAATATTTTATTATAAATCATCTTATTTTACATATCAATCCCAGTTCCCTCTCCCTCCCATTCTCCCATGCCCCTTACTGACCCCCCATCCTATCTCCCCATCCACAACCCAGGGAGGATGAGGCCTTCCATGGGAGATCATCAAAATCTGTCCAGTTATTTGGGGTAGGGTCTAGGCCCTCCCCTTTGTATCTAGGCTGAGAGAGCATCCCTCCATAGGGAATGGGCTCCCTAACTCCATTCATGCACTGGGGATGAATACTGGTTCCACGGTGAGAGGCCGCCCAGTCCTCCATGCTGACACTCACTTTCAGGGGGTCTGGTTCAGTCTTATGCTGGTTCCCAGCTGTCACACTGGGGTCCATGACTTCCCACTTGCTCAGATCAGCTGTTTCTGTGGGTTTTCCCAGCGTGATCTTGACCCCTTTGCTCATCACTCCTCCCTCTCTGAAACTGGATTTCAGTTTTGTTCAGTGCTTAGCTGTGGATCTCTGCTTCTGTTTTCATCGGCTATTGGATGAAGACTCTATGATGGCATTTAAGGTAGTCATCATTCTTATTATAGGGAAAGAGCATTTAAGTTTGCCTCTCCACTATTGCTTAGATTCCTAGTTGGAGTCATCCTTGTGGATCTCTATATGATCCCCTAGTGCCAGGTTTCTCTTTAATTCTATTGATGTGTCTGTCTCTTTTCTTTTTCTTTCTTTTTTTTTTTTTAAGTATAAGTCCCATTTTATTTTTCCAAGGTGTTTTTTACTTCTGTCTTTACGAAGCCATCTCTTTACATGGGCTTTTGGAGGAGGTTGTGGCGCAGCACCAGCAGGTCTAAATCGTGGCGGGGTGTTCGATCCTTCAGGGCTTCTCGAGACCAATTCCTGACTACTTTGCTATGGATGGCACAGCTCACACAGTAGTGCAGCTTCACATAGAGCTTGGGAAGCACATGGGCGTCTAAGGCGCTTGCTTCGGATATGTCCCTGACGGCAGCGGCCTCCACGATGTTCTGAATGACGAGTTTCTTAATGGCCTTGTCCTTGGGCACGCACCGGGCGCAGTTCATGCAGCTAATGGGCTGCACGTGGCCACGGCCCTTCTTGGCACGCTCGTTGTTCCTCCTTTTTTTTTTTTTTTTTGGTCATCTTGGAGCCAAGACCCGAAAAGAGGTGTCTGTCTCTTGCTCTCATCTATTCACGTCCCCACTCAATCTTCCTGCTCTCTCATGTCCTCCTTCTCCCCCCTCCTCCCCTCCTATTTCTCCTCCCTCCCTCCTTTCCCTCCCCCCCCATGTTCCCAATTTGTTCAGGGGCTCTTGTCCCTTTCCCCTTCACTTGGGGGACCATGTATGTATCTCTTACGGTCCCCCTTGTTTCCTAGCTTCTGTGGAGGTGTAGATTGCAATCTGGTAAACCTTTGCTCTATGACCAATATCCGTATATGAGTGAGTACATTCCATGTTTGTCTTTCTGCGACTGGATTGAGGTATGTATTTGGAAAGCAGACAAATGATTAATATGATTTCTTCATAAACTTCCGATACCACAAAGTCAAATTTTCCTCCTTACCTGCGGGCCTTACTCACTCTGTCCACAAGGAACAGTCTGTGGGAGTGGAGTGAGGCATCAGTGGAGGTTCTCAGGGCAGAGACCCCAGGAAGAGGATCGGGTGGACAGCATCCTCCCCTGCACTGCTGTGTCTCCCACAGTCAGCCCCACCAGTGACCGCTTTAGCCCCTCCATTCCTAGGAGCCATTTCTAGCCTCTGCATTTCCCAGGCCTAGGTTTCTCTGCCTTCCTCTCACACTTCCTCCCACTGCACACTTCCAGAGCACCCCAAGCTCAGAGGCTAGCCCCTCCTCTCATTTCTTCCAAACCTACCACATGGCTCATCAGCTCTCTGCAAATGCCTGATTTGAAATAGCACACTGAATTCTATTAATGGGTACAACAAATACATGGTCATCAAAAAAAATCAATTATTTAAAGGGCTAGCCATTTATTTGTAAGCCATCTGACCAAATAATAGACACTTGAGTGAAAGGCTTTCAAGTTCTGCTTTGTATTCAGCTCCAGGTGATACTTGGAGATGTTCAACAAACATATATTGAACTAAATTTAAACATTCCCATCTATTTGCATTTTACACAAAAAGTGCATGTTGTGATAAATACATTTATAACTGGGGTGGGCACTTTTTGGCAACTTAGCATTCAGAAAACACATTTCAGGCTGTGTGAGCAGGCCTCTGTCTCTGGGGCTGTCCCTGCAGCAACTTCTCTTCCAGGCCTCTTTCTGTCCCCAATATTTGAATCTGAAATGGTTTTCCTTTATTGTTTTTATTTACAACTTCTTGTTGTTTTTCAAGACAGGGTTTTTCTGCATAGCCCTGGCTGCCTTGGAACTCACTCTGTAGATCAGGCTGCCCACAGACTCAGAAATCCTCCTGCCTCTGCCTCCCAAGTGTTGGGATTAAAGGCGTGTGCCACCACTGCCTAGCTTATTTGCAATTTTTAAATTAAACATTATTATGTCATTTCCCCTTCTTCTCCTTTCACCAACCCCTTTCATGTTTCCCCCTTGTTCTCTCCTAAGTCTATGACCTCTTTTTCTTTAATAATTATTGTTACATACATATATAACATAAATATAAATGTAGCCTTTTAGTGTTGTTTGTATATGTTTCCAGGATCAACCACTTGGTATTGAATAATCATTAAGGGGCATGATCCCTGGGGAAGACCAGTTCTCCCCCTCTCATCATTACTTGCCTGTAGCTCTTCATCTAGGATTGAGGCCCAGATTTCCCCCTTCACATAAGCATGTCTATTGGTGGTGTTGGTTATTGAATCTAAGATGCTTTTGAAGAATGTTTTGAGTTTATTTTAAGTGTGGGTGTGATGTTGAGAGTAGTGATGGGATATCTTTCAAGATAGAGGCTGGAGGTGGAGGAATCCTGGGGGAACCCTGTGTATTGCAGTCTTAATTAGGTGGTGTGGAACTCTATACCATTTGACTCAGAGCCATGACAACCACTGAAAGATCATTTGCCAGATGTGAAATGTGCATCATGCACTCTCTCACTCATTTAGTGCGTGCTTCCCTTCCTTGTGCTCAAAATAAACACATGGGTTATTTACTCCTGCTCTTTGGTTTCTGTGAGGTCAGGGTTTTGTTCCTTAGATGATAAGGGAAGGGCTAGGAGAAAGCAGGCAAATAAAGACCATTTGATGATGGTGATGATATTGATCTTGGCCCCCTCTGCCAGGATAAATGGGAGAAGATTTGGAGTGCTCAGGAAACAACCATGGAGGTTTTTGAACACATCAACTTGATGGCCCTGGACATAATCATGAAATGTGCTTTTGGGCAGGAAACCAACTGCCAGATAAACAGGTCAGTGATGAGTCAGTCAATGAGTTCACTGTGATCTAAGTCAATTATTAACCCGTTGTTCCAACTTTGTCTTCTAGCACCTATGAACCTTACATGAAGGCAACATTTGAACTTGGTGAGATCATATCTTCTCACTTGTACAATTTCTGGCATCATCATGACATAATTTTCAGATTCAGCCCTAAGGGCCACTGCTTCCAGGAGTTAGGCAAAGTGATACATCAATGCACAGGTAAAAACATGGGCCTGTCTTAGGTGTGGGTTACCCAAATCCATGCACCATTATGCCTGTCTTATGTGTAGAAGAATAAGTCTCACAGAAGGCAGGAAGAGAATTCTTGTTCTTAATGGAGCTTTAATATGAATACTGCCCAAATAATTACAACTTTATTCCTTTAAGATAAGTTTATACCCTCACCATAATATAATTCTATTGTATACAATTATTACAAATGCATTTTTAACAAGGGAGCATTTAAGGTTTCAAAATGTACATGGCATGTGGCTTTCTTTGCATTAAATTAAGTAATATTACAAGCTAAAATGCTTGCACAGAATAGACATAGAGGAAAAAAATAGATGTTGGTATGTGTTCAAAAGACATCCAAAATTTGGATATTGTAGTACTCACTTTTAATCTTAACACTCAAGAGGCTGAGATGGGTGATCTCTATGAGTTTGAGGCCAGCCTGACCTACGTGGTGAGTTCCAGGACAGCATGGAATTTTGCCATGTGAATATTGGGAATACAGCCTGGGTGCTCTGGAAGCCCCTTTTGCTATGTATGTTGGCTGCTTTCTCTGCTGGCTATTTCATTGGAAAGTTTCCCTAAAAATCAAGATTTTAGACTGAGAAGGAAAACAGTGATTGGCCACTTGCATCTAACTTTGCCATCATCTTGACTATATTGCTTGCCTACTGATAGAAATTAATTTTCATCTCTTCTGTTTGAAACTTTTATTAAAAGTTGTCTGTTAAGGGGGAATGCCTAGACGCTACCCCAAATGACTTGACAGATTTTGATGATCTCTCATGGAAGGCCTCATCCTCCCTGGGGAATAAACAGGGGATGGGATGGGGGCCAGTGGGGGACATGGGAGGACGGGAAGGAGAGGGAACTGGGATTGATATGTAAGATAATTTTTTAAAAAAAAAAAAAGCTGTCTGTTGGTGGAAAATAAACCATTCATACAAACTTAATGTATTTAGATGTAATATACCCACTGTGGTCTCTGAAAGCAAATAAGACATAACAGTGTGTGCTCTGCCTTGATTTATAATGTATTTGGCTTTGACTGACTAAGCTGCCCCTTAGGTAATGAAGATCTTTTATTCTTTGCAGAAAAGATCATCCAGGATAGAAAGAAACTCCTCAAGGATGGAGTAAAGCAGGATGACACTCAAAAGTCTCAAGATTTTCTGGATATTGTCCTTTCTGCCCAGGTAAATGTACCAAAAGCCGAAGCCTGCTCACACAGCGGCTGACTGTGTGAGGGGGTGGATGGGCAAGCAGAGTAGGGATGGGAAGACACAAGCAAACCTCTCCAGACTGCTGTGAGCAATGGCTCTTGGTGCAGTCTGGAGGAAAGACTGAGACTTGTCACTCGCCAGGAGTCAGTGAAGACTGAGTTGCATGCTTGCCATGATTTAAAAATTATACAGATACCAGAGTTTAGAGACTCACAGAAAACTGGAAACATGGATGAGCACTTTAAAAAGGAAGTGTTGAAAAACTAGATACAACTGGAAGAGCAAGGAAATTTTCCAAATGCTTATACAAAGCCTACTTTTCTTTTGTAACATTGGTTCTCCTTTGTGCTCTGGGCAAAGTGGGACTCATACTATGTAATACGAACTAAAATTGAAACCTTTATTTGAAACTCTTGCATTTCTGTAAAACTATCATTTTGATGGCATCTCCAAACATCTGTAAAGTGACATTTCATTCAGCTATCTCTGCTGCCATTGTAGGCTGAAGATGGAAGAGCCTTCTCAGATACCGACCTACGGTCTGAGGTGAACACCTTCATGTGGGCAGGACATGACGCCTCTGCAGCCAGCATCTCCTGGCTCCTCTACTGCCTGGCTCTGAACCCTGAGCATCAAGACAGATGCCGGACAGAGATCAGGAGCATCCTGGGAGACGGTTCTTCCATCACCTGGTAAGATCTGCAGCCCTCAGTATATCACCCTATCTCTCTTCTTGAGATGTTGCTTATTTCTTCTCCTGGTGCCTTAATGACCACAGTTTCCCAAGGTGCATGTATGCCAAAGCATAGGAGGCAGGCCACTTGTCTCTTCTTTCTGAGGAGAGCCCTGGAGTTAAGTTTGTCTTCTGCAAAGGAAGTTCACTATCCAGAAATCATCCAACACTATTTTTTTTTCCTATGCAATGTTGCATTTGTTTCTTTTGCCCAAGCTCTGGCCCATTTGAAGTGAGGAACAGACCTTAGACTTTCGTGTAGGGCTTCAAAGACAAGACTCTGGGGAACTTCTGTGCTGAGAAGGCTGAAAGGGTAGCTGTGACATTGTGTTCACTCTAGCACCCTAGCTGATCCCCTGGTCACTGGTGTCATACTTCAGGATAGGGTGGCCTTTGGCCTTTGAACATATTAAATAGTACAAGCTGTTGTTGAGTTAGAAGATCTAGACTGAGGAAAGTTTAAGAATTGAGGCACTAAAATTATGGCTAAGATTTTGTACAGACCCTATCCTCCATGATCTGTAGTCTAAGGCAAGAGAGCGACTGTCACACCGCCAATTAAAGTGCTCATGGTAAGGGCAATGACAAAGATATTTGCTGACCACCAGATTTAGAAGACAGATTCCCACCCTGGCCATAGGGAGTTAGTGAGACACCACCCCTTGCGGATCTGATACTTCTGGGACAAGAAGAGCAAACCAGGAGAAAGCATCAACTTTCTTAGTGAATCTTGCTGTTAATAAGCTTTAAATAATGAACAGGACTTGTTCAGTCCATCAGACATGTTGTTTACAAAGGAACAGTGTATCCCTGATAAGCCATGCCCAATGCCCCAGTCAAAGGGGCAGAATCATGAAACTGCTAAAGACCATTTCATAAGCAAAGGTCAGCTCAGAAAACAAAAAAACTGAAGTTCTAAAGGCAGTAGAGGTCTCATTTTATAAGGAACTAACAGTCATTTACTACCATAAGTTCAAAGCTTCATCTAAGGGCTGAAGAGAGGGCTCAGTCAGCAAAGAGCTTGGTGCATAGGGATGAGGACCTGAGTTTGATCCCCGGCACTCACATTAAAAAAAAAAAGCCCTAAGGGCAGAGGGCCAACACGATGACCCAGCCATGGAAGCCTGGTCTAAACTCAATCCCCAGAATCCACTTAAAAATAGAGAGAACTGATTCCATAAAGTTACCTCTGACCTCTACATGGCATAGTCACACACCCCCAAACACACACACACACACACACAACACATTTATCCATATAGCATTGAGTAAAATGTTAAGTAATGACTTTTTATCGATAAAAAGTATGCATGTTTGTTTGTATATACGAATACTATTTACAGTATGCTATTTTGACCCATGTAAGCATTTTGAAATAACTGATGCAGTAGGCATATCCACTAACTAATTATTTGTATGGTAAGCACATATAAAATATACCCATTGAGATGTTCAAATACATGACAAATTGTTAACAATTACAGCAGCATAACTCCCCCATATCTAACTAGAATTCTGAACCTCTTGTTGTCACATCCCTGATTGGCATTGTTCCAGTCTCTGCCTCTACAAATTCTCTTAAAGCCACCTGTGACTGGGTTCATGGGGTGTTTGTCTTTCTGTGTCTAGCTCATTTTTTTTTTTTTTTTTGCATATTGACCTCCAAGTTCATTCATATGTTAACAAGCAAAAGACTTTCCTTTCATTGGGACATAACATTGTGTTGTGGGTGTGTACTATGTGTTCTTTATCCACTCTTCAGGTAATGATTCTGGCTGATTCTGTATCTATAGAGAATAAAGCTGCCATTGATACAGTGGCTTCATTCCCTTTGAATATATACTGACAAATGAAATTTTTGGGTCATGTGGTAGTTCCTTTTGTAATTTTTTTAGGAACTTCCATGCTGCTTTCCATTTGGTTGTATTGATCCACATTGATCCTAACAGTGTGTAAGGATCCCATTTTCTCTAAATCCTCACCAGTATTTGTTCATCTTCCTTTTCGCTAACACATGTGAGGTGATATCTCATTGTTGGTTTTAATGGTTTTATTTCTCTAATGATTTGCAATGTTGAGAATTTTTCATAGGCCTGTAAAGTATTTGTAGGTCCTTTGCTTGAGTTATTTAAGTTCTTTATATATTTTGAATATCATTTCCTTATTATATAAGTGGTTTGTAAATGTTTTCCCCATTTTGTAGGTTCATCACTTTACTCTGTTATTTTCTTTGCCATACATAAGTGTAATGAGATATCCACCCCCCTGCACCTGCTTCACTGACCACACCCATTGGGGGTGTGGGCACAGGTGTAGGTGTTAGGGGGGTGGAAGCTAGGTATGGGGTCCCAGACCCCAGCTCGCTCTCTTATTTCCTGGTCAGATTTCAGAGAGCATCCGGGTGGCATCCTTGGAGCGGGAACCTGTTGTGGTCATCTGTTTCAGGTGTAAGCGATTTTTCCCTGAATAAACATCATCCAACCTATACTGTGTCCCAGTGATTCTTATTTCCTACTCGATATCTGGTGTCAGAAGTGGGATTAGTCGGTGCAACAGGTCCAGCGGGGTGGATATCTCACTACACATAAGGTATTTCTTCACTTAATGTAAACTCTTACTATTTTTTTTTTTTTTTTTTTGCCTTTGTTGCTTGTGCTTCCAAGAGAAAATTCAAATGTGACCCATGCCAACAATCATCTGGCCATCATTGATTTCTCTAGTAATTTACAATCAGATAGTATTTTAAGTCTTTATTCAGTTTTGAGTTGAGTTTTGCCTGTAGGATAAGATTCTTATTTTATTCATGTTGTGTATATCCAGCTTTCTCAACATCAATCAGTCACTGAACTGTGCCCACTGTGCATTCTTGGCACCTTTGCTGAAGATTCCTTGCCTGTAAGTGTGTGTGGATGTGGTTCCAAGATCCCCACCTGTTCCATTTGTTTTTTATTCTACAGCTTCACAGTAGATCTCCAGATCAAGTATGGTCTCACACAAAGGTGCTTTTGTCTGCGAATCATTGCTGTTGGGAGGATCAAAGTGGGGGACCTCTTATCTTATCATCTTGTTGTCTAGTCCATTTCTATTTATTCACTAAACTTGGAAGATTGTTATGTCTGTTTCCAGCATGAATTCAATGCTTCATCTTGTCTGTTGTAGTTACTTAAGAAACAAATAAGGCTTGGCACAGTGGTGCTTGCTTTTAATCCCAGCAGGGGCAGGTGGATCTTTGTGAGTGTGAGACCACTATGACCTGCATAATGAGTTCCAAGACAGCCAGAGCTACATAGTGAGACCCTGTCTCAAAGAACCAAACCAAAAGAAGGAGGAGAGGAGATAAAGCAGAAGCAGGAGGAAGAGGAGGGAAGGAGGAAGAAAAACAAAGAAACTTCTGTGTTGACTTTTCTCATTCTTGGTCTAAATTTGAAAACAGTATGAGTGTTAGCCAGGTTAAAAAGAGAAAAAAAAGTCCAGATAATTAACTATCCTCTCTTTTAATGAAGGAGAGAGAAAAAATACTACAAAGAACAGTTTTCAAAGATTTTGGGTTTGGTTTTTTTTTTTGTGTGTGTGTGTGTGTGTGTGTGTTTGTGTGTGTTTGTTTGTGTGTGTGTGTGTGTGTGTGTGTGTGTGTGTGTGTTTTAAACAGGGTTTCTCTGTGTAATAGCCCTGGAACTCACTCTGAAGACCAGGCTGGCATCAAACTCACAGAGACTCACCTACCTCTGCCTCCTGAGTACTGGGATTAAAACCACTACCACCCAGCTCAAAGATTTATTATTATTTTTTAATTATGTGGACATGAGTGTCTGTGGGGGGTATATGCTCATGAGTGCAGGTACCATAGAGTCCAGAAGAGGGTGCCAGATCCTCTGGAGCTGGAATGGTTGTGAGCCACCTGATATAGATGATGAGAACTGAACTCAGATCCTTTGCAAGAGCAGCAAACACTCTTATCTGATGAACAATCTCCAGTCCCAGAACACATTAAAAAAAAAAATCCATAGCGTATCCAGCATTTTCATTAATGAAATCTACATGTGGCATTCAGAAAATTTTAAGCAATTTCTCTCTTTGGCTCCTTGCCAAGCCATTACTATGTTGGTTTAAAAACCTTCCCCTTGTTGGAGATGGTGACACATGCCTTTAATGCCAGCACTGGGAAGACAGAGACAGGTGGATCTCTGTGAGTTCTAAATCAGCCTGGTCTACAAAGTGAGTTCCAGAACATCCAAGGCTACATATAGAAACTCTGTCTCAAAAAACCAAAATTAATAATAATAATAATAATAATAATAATAATAATAATAATAATATTTTGCTCAGGAAGTTTTATGTAAGTTCAAGGCCAGACTGGTCTATTCAAAGAACTCCAGGCCATTGAGGGCTATGTTGGCAGAATTTTCTGTCCCAAATAACCACACAGAGACTTATTATTAATTATAATGCTTAGCCAATAGCTCAGGCTTGTTACTAACCATCTCTTACAAATGAAATTAGCCCACATGTCTTACCTGCAGTCTACCTTCCCTCAGCACAGCATGCTCATCTTGCTTCTCCCATGTCTCCTGGGGATCCCACCCTCCTTCATCCCAGAGAACTTGCCCTGTCCCCTAACCTCTTCCTGCCCAGCTATTGACCATTTATTTCTTTATTAAGCCAATGAGAGCAACACATCTTCACAGAGTACAAAAAGATTATTCTATAACAAAGGGCTACATGGTGAGATCCTGTCTCAAAACAGCAACAAACCAAAATTCTTCTTTTTGTTCATAATGATATGGCTAGTTTTTCCTTAATTATGTAAGTTACAGAGGACACAATTGCCTATTTATTTCCTGGCCTTGATGGGGAAAGAATACAGAATTAAAATGTTACATTCTAAAATGGCCAACACCTGCATTAAAGTAATTCATCAGAAAAAATAAATAGAAATTGGATTAGGCAAAAATGATTAAGTATATTTGAATAGCTAGGTATACAGATAGGCCATTTCATTCTTTGCCTGCTCTCACTTCAGACTCTGAACACAGTGTTTCTCTGGCTGGTCTGGAGCTCACCCTCCTCCTGGTCAGTTTACTGACTACTCCCCACCCCAGACACGCCTGTGCATCCCTACCTCGCAGCTGCTCTCCCCTGCCAGTCTGTCTACTCTGGGCCGTTTGTGATTGGTTCTGTGCTTCCCAAACTCCAGGGAGCACATTTCAGACCCTGTATATAACCTGAAGTCAGTCTCCCCTTATTTAAGATGAGTAGCACCCCACTCTGTTTTCCACAGTACTTCAATATTTCAACAATTCTCTTTACATATTTTTTTCTCTCAAACTTCTTTAGCCTCTTATTCAGTTTTCAGCTGTGCCTTCTACACTCTTCCTTTACATGAAGAGCTAAGGGTCACAACACTGCTTTTCAGAAGTTCTGTTGTTAGGCACATGGTATCTGTGTGTCTGCCACCTTTGGGACTTCAGTTGACACGGACACAGAATAGACCACATTTTAACAATGTGCTGTATAAACCCAGACAAAAATCACTAACAGTGAGGCTTACTAAGAAAAAAATCAAATAGAGAAAAGTCAATACAAAGTGGATCTGGAGTCTAAGTCCCTTCCCTCCTTCCTTTGTCCACAGGGACCAGCTGGACAAGATGTGCTATACCACAATGTGCATCAAGGAGACACTCCGCTTGATTCCTCCCATCCCATCCATCTCCAGAGAACTCAGCAAGCCCCTTACCCTCCCGGATGGACACTCGCTCCCTGCAGGTCTTCATATTCTTTTCCTAAGCATGAGATCCTGAAGGTCACAGTGATGGTGACTAGGGGGGTTTGAGGCTTCTTGGGACATCTGAGTTGGAATTAGGCAGCTACTAAAAGCATGGAGGATAATTCCTCAATCATATGTGAGCCACAGTGACCTTCCTAAACCACATAGCCAGGTAAAGCTGCTAGGTTCCAGCCTCATTTTGAGAACCCCAGTCAAGGGTATCATCTATTGTGGGACATTGTCTCTAAGATAATCTTCGTGAGGCTGAGTTTGAGATCCAAGTGGTCTTTACAGGAGACGTGCACCATTGTGTTAATGTGGGAAATGAGAAGGGGAGTCCTTATTACCAGACCAACTCAGAAGGAGACAATACTTAGTCTGTATAAAACCTTCACCTATGTTGTTTCATTTCCCCCTTGGAATGGGGTCTTAACAGACATGGGTTCAGTACTTTACAGTTTACAAAACACTTCTAAATATTGTTGATGTCTTCAAAAACCCATTAAGAAAACCCAATAATGCACACAAGGTTAGCAGATGTGAAGCAAAGCTAGAACTCAAATAGAGACCCTGTGTGCGAAGTCAGATGTTCCTGGCAGGACATGAAGGTGGCAGTAGGGTCACATGAGATGTCATTTCCCTTGCCTGCTTTAGAGTCAACAGGTCAACAGAAGAGCTGGGGCCAAGCCTACAATCTGAGGCTGAATTTTTGTTGACAGAACCAGAAATATTTTGGATAAGAAAATGCTGCTCAAATTCCTTCTCTTTTGTCTTTTTTTTTTTTTTTTATCACCAACCATATGAATATTTGCCCAAATTCTCCACCTTTCACGGATAAACAGTGCCAAGAGAAATTAGCCACTGGATCTTCAAGGTAGATCAGAAGAGTCTCTATGGAGTGTTGTCCAGCTGGTAACAGTAATTCCAAATGAGGCAGAACACTCAAACAGAGTTTAGCTCTTTGGTCAGACACCAACAGGCCTTTAGTATAAAAATCATGAACTGGGTAAACAATTGCTTTGAAAACTATAGTTCAAATCCAAGCCCATCCTTTCCATGTTCTTCCCTGTTGGAGCTGGCACATGGTTCAGCAGGATCTAGCTCTTCCCTCCAGGAAGAAATCTCCTGCACACTTCAGCAGTTTGTTCCATTTTCTCCTACCTCAGGAATGACTGTGGTTCTTAGCATTTGGGGTCTCCACCACAACCCTGCCATCTGGAAAGACCCAAAGGTAAGATTGTCATCTGTGGATAAACTCCAGAGAATCTTGCTGAGTGACCCTTGTGTTGACAGCTAAGTATGCAAATGGCTGGACTGTGAAAGTAAATTATGCTGGGCAAACAAACATAAAAGTCAGAACCATGTAAAACTCACCCACTAACGATCTTGACCTCAGCTCATATCCTTTATCTTTATTGCGCTTTAAAGATCTTAGTCCCACAGTCTACTTCCAACTGTCACTGACTGTTTCAGTCACTCACCTGTCAAGCTCTTTTGAACACTAAATAGATATCTGCAGGGCTGTGGCTGGTCAGTAGAGCCAGCTGGGCAGCTCAGTCTCTCTTTTATTGTATGAAGCAATCAAGACCCTGGTGCTATTGATAGTACAAGTTCAAATGCTCCATAAAGGAACTATTTGTGAAGTTATGGGCAGAAGTTAATGGAAAAAAAAATGAAAGTGCTTATCATTCAGAATCGTTTATCTTTTCTACACCTGATAGGCCCCAGAAGGGAGAGTTACATTAACTGTGGGAAAAGAGCTGAGAGCTAGGGAGGAAACATCAAATAACCCCATGCAGAAGAGATTGCCAACCTAAGACAGCCAACAGGGAGAAGCCAACCAGCAGTCAACACCCCAACTCCTGGGCTACCACTCTTCAGATCCCTATCAATGCCTTGTATTGTCCCAAACTTATGAAAGAAATCACGTGGGTCAACTGTCTAGAGCTCGGAATAGCCTCAGAAAGGGAGAAGGGAGGATCTAGACAGGCAAGGAGATGTTAGAAACCCTAAGCTGATTCAATATGTTTGAAAGTCAGCATAAGCACTAGTGTTTTCCTCTATGAATACCACTAGGGCTTTCGATCTGTTCTGTAGAATAGGAAGCTGAACTATTACATCTCATTTGGGATTGGCTTCTAAGTGGGTGAACTCTTAGACTGGCTAACAGACAAATCAGGGGAAAGCCAGATAAGTCCTCCAGGTCTATAGAGGCATTTGTCCATGTGGCCACTGAGCAACTTGGCTAATTGGGATGGCAACATGGAGTTTGAAGACACAGAAGCCCCCCCAAAGGGAAATATTTCCTTAATTATTTATATTGAATACATGATAGACTATTTTGTTTAATAAAACCTATTGTTAAAATTTATGCTGTCTTCTTAACATGTGGCCCACAGAACATTTTAAATAACTTCTGTGGCATATGTTTCTGTATCAGCACTAGGTAGTAACTTAAACAACATGTTGTGGTCAAGATAGTAATGGCGTTGTCTTCTCATTTCAGGTCTTTGACCCCTTAAGATTCACTAAGGAGAATTCTGATCAGAGACATCCCTGTGCCTTCCTACCATTCTCCAGTGGCCCAAGGTGACCCAACTTGAAGCTGTTGAAATTATACACAAAAAAAAGCTTACTTACCCATTAGCCCCTCTCTGCTCCATTAATTACTTCCCAGAACCCATCTCTTTGCAAAAAACATTAGTAGTTAACATTGCATTCCCGAGTCATGCCTCAAAAAACAACTCTGCAATTTAAGTGTTGCTCACAGGCTCAATGTTTGTAGGAGAAAACAGTTTGTGGGTGACTCCAACTGCCACACCTTCTTGGGGAAGAGGGAATCACATTGAACCCTCCAAATCCACATTCTTGTAAGGAGCAATGTAAGAACAAAATCTAAAAGTTTCAATGATATTTGGTGTGAAAACTGGCTTTGCTCTTATCTAAGAGAATTTTTCTGGGGAAAAAGTAGCACAAACATTTATCTACTCACCCCAGAAAGATGACACCCCCTAACAGATGGTGATATATTAGAGTCAAATTTAGTGAACCACTAAAATTTTGTTGGGTTTACTAACAAGAGTGAAGGTTTGCTTATGGGAACAAGGGTGGCTCTAATGCCACTGTGTCTGGGTTATTTTTCTATTGCTGTGAAGAGGCACCATGACCAAGACAACTTATAGAAGAGAGTTTACTGGGGGCTTACAGAATCCAAGGGTGAATCCGTGATTGTAATGATGGGGAGCAAGGCAGCGGGCAGGCAGGTAGCTGAGAACTTACGTCTGATTCACAAGCATCAAGCACAGAGAAAACTAACTGGGAATGACTGAGCGTTTGAAGACTCAAAGACCACCTTCCAGAACCACAATTTCTTCAACAAAACACACCTCCTAATCCTTTCCACACCATTCTGTCAACTGTGGAGAAAACATCATCTTCAAATGCATGAGCCTATTTGGAGGGCATTCTTATTCAAAATGAGATGCATCACTGAAAAGTCCAATCCTCACAAGTGACCACTCAGGTTGCAGCAGAAGCTACAACCCTGGAGCTCACTGCACAACTTACAGGCATCTGGACTAGTCTGGGAGAACTCTGGGAGGGTCTGAGAGGCAGCCAGTCTTCTCCCCAGCAGTTGTTTCCTGCTTCTGTAAGTCTGGAGAGAAACCCTCATGAGTCTTCCAAGTCTCAGCTTGCCCAGATGTGAAGTCTATTCACCTCTGGAGTTTCTTGAGTCCTTTCCCTCCCTGCTTCAAACAGAGGAACCCACTAAGCAGCCCTGGCCTCCAGACTTGTTATTCTAGAAACTAACCACTTGCTCTCCCTCTGCAGGAACTGCATCGGGGAGCAATTTGCCATGCTGGAATTAAAAGTGGCCATTGCCTTGATTCTACTCCGTTTCCAAGTAGCTCCAGACCTCACCAGGCCTCCCGTCTTCTCCAGCCACACTGTCCTCAGACCTAAGCATGGAATCTATTTGCACCTGAAGAAACTCCATTGATGTTAGTATACAAGGGGACAATGGCTAAATTTCTCTTTGTTTTTAAGTTAAATTTATAGCCAATGGTCCAGGCAATTGGAAAGGACCATGAGTCTGGTTGGAGAGTTGGAGGACTGTGGGTTAGGGCACCTCTACAGATGTATATTACCTAAAGACATTTTCAGGTAACACAGGTGACTCTGGATATGTATGACTTGGAAATATTTTCAAGTTATTTTCTAATGATTATAACCAGGCCTATCACTGGGTGGCATATATATTTTTTTGTTTTTTAGTGGTTTTCAGAATTACGTAAGTAACAGGAGAATTGATGTGTGCTGGATATAAAAATTTTCCAGCCCTAGGAGTTATAGATAAAATCCCACCTCACCTGGGCTGCACCCCCTACCCTGACAGAGCCTACCACTTTCCCTAAAAGTAGAGTAATTTAGTGTGCGTTCTTCCTGACTCTTTCCTGCATATTCCATATATAATGTCCATGTGTGTTCTTAGACCTGGAATCATATCTACATTGTAATGGGAAATGTCATTCTGTAAATATGTTTCTCTTATTGGTTAATGAATAAAGCCCTGTTAGCCAATAGGAGTGGTGGAGGATTCTAGGAAATGGAAAAAAGTCGTGACGTGATCTCAGGAAGAGAGGACACATTTTGGCATTTCTTGGTAAGATAAGACCATGTAGAAATACATATATTAGTGATTATTGGTTAATATTTAAGACAGAGTTAGCCAATAAGAAACTCTAGCCATTGGCCAACAGCTTTATAACTAATAGAGTCTCTGGGTGTTATTTTGGGACTGACGCAGCTCGGGAACCAGGCTAGTGGGAAAATGCTCTTAACAGCATTGTTCTTGCATTTTCTCAATTACTAAAAGATCCACCCTAATTACTATCGTAAGGTTGTACTTTTCTGCAATGTGAGTGTCCTATGACCTAGTGAGTTTCTACTATTGGATAATTAAATAGATTTTTCAATGTATTCAACCATTGTTCTCTGCCCCCTCCCGTGTGTATACTCAGGTAGGTGCACATGTGTGTCCAGGCATGTATTCACATGTCTCCACATGCATACAGTGGCCAGAGGTCAGTAAAGGTGTCATTTTTCAGGTTTCATCCCTTTTTTTTTCAGACAGGATCACTTACTGACCTAAAACTCACCAGTAGGTAAGACTAGATAGCTAATGAGTCCCCATGATCTGCCCGTCTTTACCTCCCCAGCTCTGGGATTACAAGCATGTGCCATTATGCCTGGCTGTTTTTACGTAGATTCTGGGGATTGAACTCAGGTCCTCAAAGTTGCATAGCAAGACTTTACCTATTGAGCTACTTATCTAGTCCCTATCTTTATTGAGGTAACACCATCTATTTTGTCTGTGATTTTTTTTCTTACTTACCCATATATCCTTTATATATTGTATATAATAATTCTTGCTTATAACTTTTATTTGTAATTTTTCAGATTCCTTTGCTTTTATTAACTGTAGGTATGGTATATTTTATATATGAAATGCTTTGATTTCATGAAGTAAGATACACTAGCAGGGCAGTAGTGATGCATGCCTTTAATCCCAGCACTAAGGAGGCAGAGACAGGCGGATTTCTGTGAGTTCAAGGCCAGCCTGGTTCACAAAGTGAGTTCCAGGACACTTAGAGCTGTTACACAAAGAAACCCTGTCTATAAAACCCAAAATAAATAATAAATGAAATATATATACACTTTTCTTTATGATTTCTTGATTTTGAATCTTAAATAAGAAAGTCTAAACTTAGAAATATTCTATGTGTGTTTCTGGTGCTAAATACTCTTATGAAGTCTGAATGGGATCTAGGGTGAATTGCATTTTAAAGAAGTTTTCCTGGGCATGATAATGCATACTTATAACTCCAGCAGGAGAACCATGAGTTCAAGACCAGCCTCAGCTTCAAGAGAGAGAAAAAGGATGGGAGGGGTGCTTTTGCATCTGTTGCATGGATAGCGAATATATTAATTAATGGTTAGAGAGGGCAAAAGTAGAAACCAGAAGAAAGGTATACAATTAGAAAGTTTAGCCATGGAAAAACATAGGAGCTGCATTCTTACCTGACAGAAAAGACATCATAACCATAAAGGTGGCTTTCCCAAGGCAAGGCTCATCCATTGTACTCCAGACGTACTCACTTCTGAAATTTGTGAAACTAGCCTCCATAATTTGTTATAGTAAGAGACTGCATTCATGGCATTCATGCTCTCCCCTGAATTAAAAAAAAATAGTAGATAATGCTTTCCAGGGCTGGTGGCAGTGAACCTTAAGGTAAATGAATGTGTGAGTGACTTTGGTGACATTTAGAAGAGTCAAAAGAACTTGTTGGTTGGCTGGAAGTATGAATGAAGAGGCAGCATCCAATATTTGAGAAACTTACCAAAGTCATCTTATCCAACCATAGGAAAACTTCAAATCATCTCTGGAAGCAGCCTTCTCTCACCAGTTGTCCATCGGTCCTTTGCATTTCTGAACATTTTAACTATGGAGAAATTCTATGCAACAACTCTCCTATCGACCAAAGGCACAAATAACATGGAAGCACAGTGCAAGAAGGGATGACTTGTGGAGGCTAAGAGTCCTCTAATCAGACAGACAACCCACCATCTCAGGTTTAATAAAACCCCTACCTTATCAGTAATATACTACAAGGTAAAGAGAATTTAGCCTTCCAGTGCAATGAATGATACCAAATGCTTCCTGTAGAAACACCTGACAGGTTCACATAACTGTATCACAGCTCCTGTGTACCCTTTGTCTCTTCTGTGCCCATATGCACAGTTGCAGAAGACCACCAACTACCTGGGGAATGATTCTCTGCTTCATTGTATAATTGGTACGTGACCAAGTAAGACTAAACAGGAGCTTTGATGATTACAGTGAGTATGGCCATGAGTGCTTGAGTTACTCTAAAAGTTACAATAATAGTTAAATTTGTGAAGCGCCAACAAGTTTCTTTTATAAGTTAACCTGTAGCCTGGTGAAAATTTAAATGGTTCTTGATTACTGAATTCTACATGTTGTGACTCATTCATGATCAGCACTGTCCCAAATACTATTTTGAAGGATCTGTCACAGTCTATGCTTACATTACAGTCTGCTTGTAACAGAGATGACACAGAATCACTCCCACATCCTCTGTCCACTCCCGCAGAAATAGAATCCTTAACTGGGCACATGATTGCCAGCTACTGAATATATTCTTTCTCTCTGTCCCCTTCTATTTGTCTCTCTGTCTATGTCTGTCCTCTCTCTGCATGTATGTGCACATGCAAATGTATGTGCGTGTTTAGACTAAAGACGAGCACAGTATTTTTTTTTCAACCACTCTCTACCTTAGTTTTTGAGACAGAATCTCTCACTGAACCAATTCATCCAGACTCACCAGAAGGCCCCAGGGTTTGTCCAGTCTGTCCCTCTTCAGCACTGGGGATTACAGGTGCACAAACTACCATGCCTAGTTTTTTACAGTGTTCTGTGGACACTTACATTACTACCTGAAAGTTGTGTGTTGAAGATGAACAGAATAAGATAGACAGAGGTCTGGATGCCATCCCACTAGCTCTAGGCTATCTGCCTCCTCAATGTAGAAGAGAATTAAATTGACTCATTGAGACCTTATTATTATAGTAGACCATTATTTATGTGGACAGTGTCTTCCTTTATTTCTATCCAGATAATCAAGCTCTCTACTCTTTGCTTCAAGGCCATTTAAGTGTCCAACTATTTGTCATAACATTGGTGTTAAAGTGAACACTAGAAAAGATGGAGTAATATCCATAATTAAATAGCCACTCCCAAACCAGGAATGGCACAAGAGAACAGGCATTTTAAAGGATCCATATAAACCCAAACAAAATACCATAACTTGTTCACTTTGCTCTCCATCCCCTACCCAACCTGGAGATAAACATGAGCAAAAACTGATGCTCAGATTTTTAATTATTTATTTTTATGGGCATGGATGTTTTACCTGCCTTTATGACTATCAACCATGTGTATGCAGTGCCCACAGAGGAGGGTATCAGATCCTCTAGGACTAGAATTACAGATTGTCGTGAGCCACCATGTGGGTGCTGGGAATTGAACCCAGGTCCTTCAGAAGGCCAGTCAGTGCTCTTAACTGCTGAGCCATCTCTCCAGCTCCCAGATGCTAAGTTTCTTAAGCATTGGTCTTGGTTTTCCCATCAGGTTTGACATGCCCAGCCAAGCTGCAGATTATGTCAAAAATCATCATTTATTCTTTATCTTCTTTAAATCATGCCCCTTTTAGCAAATCTAAAGAAGTCATGGATCTTCCTTTTTGGTATATTATATACACTCGAAACACAGAAACACAGTTTGCCTGTGAATGAATGCCATTGGCCAATTCAAAAGCCCATACCTAGACCTCACTGAAAGTCCTTCTCAGTTGTAATATCCTTCACAAGCCTGGAAAATGGCCACAATTAGTAATGGACCCTATTGATTTAGGAAGCAAATCATTTTACCCTTGGGCATATCTGTCTCAAAGGAATCTCAGAACACAAACACATAACTTTTACTTACTGGTACAATTCAGAAATTGTTATCAATTATATACAGTTTATATACAATATATTGTTTTTAGAAAACAATGCAAATATTCCCCCTTATAAGTAGAGCAGTAAAGTTTCTCTGTCCATCTTTTCTAAAATATTTTCCATTAAGAGGGTTGGGACTGTAGCCCAGTGGTAGAGTCGTTGCTAACAAGCACAAGGCTCTGGGTTCAGACCCTTGCACTGAAAACAAAATTACTAAAACATAAGAACTTTGACTTTTTTTCCTTCCTTCTTTTCCTGGCTCTCACCCACTGTTCTATTAATTACTATGCTGGCCACCAGGTATTGCTAAAGGCCTCCCTTGGAACAGTGCTCTAGGATTTGTATACTTTGCCAAAACAGGAGATGCTATGCCACTGAGAGGGTCCCTTTTCTTGCCTAATACTTGCAATATTTCTT